CAATGCCTGATCAAAGGGCTACCAAGGATGTAGATATTTTATTAGCAATAATAGTATCACTTATTGGTGATTTACTTCTATTGATAAGTTAGGGTAGAGCATCTGCATATGCAATTTTTAATCACTGGTGTAATATTTCACAATATTTGTGAAAGGGAATTAGGCAGGCTGCATTCAGCACAGGGCAACACAGGGCAGCACAGGGCAGCACAGGTAAAGGACTTTTCAGAATCAAACAGGATAATAGCAAAGTCAGTAGGTGTTTTTTTCAACTAGGAATACAAGCCTTCATTCCGACCAGCTGCAGTAACAATGTATCTGTGAGAAAATTGTATTAAAATCTGACAATAAAAATTAAATAAAATGATAACGTGGCTTCATAAGAGACAGAAAATCTGCCTGCCAGAACTTCCCCAAGGTGCAACTTGCTCAGGGCACAATTTAGCCATGCAGTTATAGTTAGTGGTAAAAACAGACTCTCTTTACAGGTCCAAAGCCACAATGCACAATCCTGCTAAAACCCTAATATTGCATCATTGAAAAAGATTACACCCCCCCCCCCCCTTTCAGTAACGGCCATTGCCTGCAGATTATATGTTAAATTCAATGTGTCCAGCCCTCATTACCACCCTATAAGGGATTTCTGCAGATCCTTTCCTAAGTTGATGTGTGCAAGATTAAACGGTCCCTGAACACTCTATCCTTATTTGGGTTTAGTGAATCTTCCACCCAAGAAAGTGGCCCAATGAGAATTTACAAAACCCCTGTGGAAAAGTGAAGCATTTATTTTTTTTACAATATTCATTTGCTTAGTAAATGCATTTAACTAAAGGAATTTACATATACTATATAGCATGCAGTTCCACACTACTGCCTGTTATCTAGGGGCATTATAGGAGGGTTTCACCCTGTTTATTCATTTTGCTTTTCATTAAAAAGAGATAGGATATAATCACTCATCCTCAGTGTAACCAAGCACAAGGTTCATATTCTCATCACATTCAGATACAAAGCAGCTGTGTGATTAAAATGACAACGAAGCAGCCCTATAGCGATGCCACACTTGCCCTTGAGCTTTTCGCAGTGCAGGTAAGATTAAGTGGCTGGAAGATCTCAGCGTGTCTAAGTCCTGAACCTTGTAATTTGGCCAAACTGCGACATTCACATGGAAAAACAGTTGAAAGACGCGTGGGCGGACGAACGTAACTGGTCCAGTTTCCAAGACTGTATCTGAAAACCTCCAAAGAAAATAAATACACATTATTAGCAATGTGCTATGCATTACTGAATGCAACTATTAGTGTCATGGAGATTACATGCAACTGAATATGGTGTTCTCCCATGCCAAGCACAGAAGATGCACAGCACAGCTAATGAACAATATAAGCAGGCACTGGCAAGCCAGTTCCTGAATAGCTCCTTGCAGTGTCATTATACTTGACTTCTGACACTCGTGTTTCCTAATCGACCTATTGTGTGATGTAAGCAAACGGGTGGCTGGACTGTAGCTGTGACAATTGCACTTCCAAGGGCCTCCACTCCACTAGTCACCCTTTAGGCTGTGGAGAGTCAAGCTTTCTGCCCTCAGCATGCGTGTTAAGCCAACAAGCCCCCCACTCCAGGGCAGAGCATCAAACGGTTTTCATTCCCATTTCCACATATTTGCCTCTGCATCTCCTTTCAATCTCATGTTTCTGAGTATAGAGGAATTTTGCAAGAAAGATGGTAGGTATGAAAAGGGCCAACAGTGGGTTAACCATCCATCCATCCATCTCTCCATCCATTTTCTAATCACTTATCTTAGTCGGGTCAATGAGGAGGGGGGGCTGGAGCTCAGAAGGGATGCCAGCCCATGGCAGGGCATATACACCAACACATGCAATCATACTCTGCGGTCATTTTACACACACACACACACACACACACACACACACNCCATGGCAGGGCATATACACCAACACATGCAATCATACTCTGCGGTCATTTTACACACACACACACACACACACACACACACACCAGTTAGTCTTCCTGCATGACTTCAGGAAATCAAAGTAACCATAAGAGAGAAACTTCTATAAAAATGACACAAATCATATTTAATCAGCTAATTCATCATCTATTAATTGCACTATTACAGTATAAAGTACAATGCAATTGAAATGAGCATGGAAAAACTATAATTAAACTGCATCATGAATTAATTATAAAATATGGTACTCTCTTGAAGATAAATATTTAATTCAGTGTAAGATATGTTCATAATTCTTATCATTTTCATTGTGCCACATATATCTATTCAAGAGACTTTTTTCCTTTGGACCACTTTTACTGCCCTTTGATAAGCAAATATAAAGTTGATTGTGTTTCTTCTGTTTTTGCTTTTGCATATTTTCCTGTAGCTAAGCGTAGACAATAAAAATCAAGCTGTTTGTGACACTATCCAAGGTCACGTCAGAAAAGGATTAAAACACAACTTTTTTATGAATGATGCAACATTTTACTCTGAGTAAAGTAAAATACAAACAAAACGCTTAAGTCATCCGGGGTTGAGCAATGCACTGCTAAGTCCTCATCTATAATACTGCGTACAGATCTGGGCAACACCTGTCAAAAAATACTTCTACTTCATAGTTGATCCAGCAAAGAAGAATGGGAACGATTCCTTGTGCTAAAGAGCTGCCAAGCGCAATGTTGGAAGTTCTAAATTTATTGAGCAATGACATTTGATTAATTGATAAGCTCAATGCCGGGGACCACATTAATGTCAGTACTTGTAAGAGAATACAAAATTACATCCAGGATAGAAATATAGTGGAAGACAAATTCGAATAACAACACAAAAGGCAGGTTTCCACACAAAAAAATCTATAATGTGGGGTTGAAATAAGGTTCTTGTGAGCAATTGAATATGGCTGCTTGAAATGTTTTATGGTGCGGTTATCCCTGAGGTATATGGCTGCAGGTTTTGCTATATGACTTATATTGCTACTTTATTAGCTGACATTTAGGCCTAGACTGTACTAAAAATGAGCATTCAAATTGTTGCAATTGCTTGTAGTTTTCATGATTAACACACTGTACGATACTATGTAATGAGCAGTCCTTGATTTTTCTGTTTTCAGCTCAGTGGCATTACTCTTGCTTTGGGGTTGGTGCCTTTGAGTGGATCTTTTGCCTGTACTTTTATCCTCCTGAGGTAGAAAACTGCTACCCTTGCAGAAGACTACTCTCCCTGTGTGCTGGAGCCCCAAACATAAGCCCACCTGCTTCCATTTCTCTAGAAGTTTCACTCTAGGGAACAACAAGTGAGCACTCGAGGCATCCAGATGGCAAAGAAAAAGGTTATACGACGGCTTTATGGCTAAATAGTGATACATCAATAACCCAAATGCTTGGAAGTCATTCATCATTAGAAACTATATCCCCTACAGTATTCTGAATGCACCGCATAATAAAAACAATTAACATGAATACCCATTCCCATTAATCAGACCTGTGAATGATACAGTCATCATGCCAATGTTCGAGATCATTCATTTCCGAAGCTTAAAATATCAAATTTCCGTGATGAGAGTTGGATATATTCTAAACAGTGGTGACAGGGACACAAATTACTAAGTATTTCTGCATTAGTGTAGTGCTAATGTTCTTTGATGAGCAGGACTTGTTCTAGAATCAATAACAGCCTATGGGCAAAGAGCTATGTGCTGAAAGCAGCTTGATGTTTCCCTGAATATCTCTTACTGCAATTGCTCCTCTCAGCACTAAAGTAGTGGAGCTTTTCTATTGTGACAGCAGGAAGAAAAAAGTGCTGGATGCTTTAACTCATTTCCTAAGTGAGAGAACATCATTTTTTTTCAAAAGAAATATTGTATTAACAATAACAGCTCAATAGATTAATCATGCAAGAGCATTTTTAATAAACTGTGTATCTAAGCATGTATGAATATGTTGACTGTCTACCAGTTTACACTTTACATAATATGCATCCATCCATTTTCTGAAGCTGCTTATCCTATCCAGGGTCACAGCGGCTCCAGAGCCAATGGGCACAAGGCAGGGAACAACCCAGGATGGGGCACCAACCCATCACAGAGCACCAACCCATCACAGGGCACCAACCCATCACAGGGCACACTCACACACCATTCACTCACACCTACAGGCAATTTGGTAACTCCAATAAACCTCAGCATGTTTTTGGAGTGTGGGAGAAAATCAGAGGAAACCCCATAAAGACACAGGGAGAACAAGCAGACGGCACACAAACAGAACCCAACCCAAGACTAGAACCACGGTCCCAGAGGCGTAAGGCAGCACTGCACCACAATGTCACCCACTTGATATAACAATTTTGGTCAATTTTCATGAATCATGTATTAAACCTTAAAAAATGTTCGGCATCCCCTCCTAAGGTTCTACAAAAAATATCATTATACTTGCTTCGTGTATACCTACAGAATAAGGCATTTGTAAACATCAATAACATTAACATAGCTCACAGGTAATTTGATAACATGAATAACCTTTTCTCTTATAAGCAAAGCCAAAAGATTTAACACCAGCTTGTTTACAACACTTTTACAGATGCATACTGAGGAAAGGAGACTGTCTGAATCCAGGTTACTGTGTGCTGTTGTTTTCTCTGTTCCATGGGTATAAATTAAAACTTAACATATATTTAAATCGATACCACATGGCCAGTTGTTACTGGTTACCAATTAAAATAGCTACAAGAGAACATGTTTCAGGGCAAGCAGTTATACAAATACACAATTTCATACCAGCATCAATTTTACATATTTAAAAATGATTTTAAAAGTGGCAGATACTCTAAATTTTATTGGAATGTGCGCCTAATATTTATTTAGTACTTTCCAAGAGCGACCCTCAGTGAAAAAGTATCTGACTCGTCGCCGCACGCGAAGCTTCACGCGCACCTTCCCCAGCGCATCCCGCTACGCCAGTATCAGCGGGGAGCGAGCCTTGGTACTCACCCTTTGGGTTTTTGAAGGACTGGAAAGACCGCGAATGGTGCACCATTGTGGCTTCTGGCAGAGCTACCAACTAAGAAATAATCAATTTTCTACGTCTAAGCGTTCGAAGACGTGAAAATTCTATGATAGGACTGCGTGGGTGTCTTTGCTCCCCGACATACTCGGCGCGCTGTAGCGATGCGCGGCACCGCTCCGGCTCACTAAGCTCCTTCATCCATGACTGTTGTCATGGCAACGTACCGTAAGGGAGGTCTTGTGTCGGTACTCTATGGTACCTCTTCGTGAAAGCTTTCCTAAAATATTATGCCTTCGTGCAGTCAAATGTCATTATAAAAAGGTAAACATTTCGGTTAAGTGAGAATGACAAAGTCTCAGAAAAACAAAGTGTGCGATGAGCATCTCCATTCCCTGGAACAACGTGCCATGCAGTTTGACTTTGAGTTTGCTAGAATCTCTGCGAGTTTAATGCCTACTATTTCTGGCTTCTTTATTGATTATTTATTTCAGATCATTATGCACGCTGTTAAAAGCAGACCTGCTTGCTTTTTTTGTTCTACTGATTGTTTAGGAATATCCGCTACTTTCTTGTCACTTTTTAGTGATGCAGCTGATCGTTTTTTTAATTATTATTTTCGAACGAATTTTATGAATACACTGTTTTTTTTTTTTTTAGCACAGGGTGATATGTTACACAGCATCAAAGACAGTATGTCATTTGCTGGAAAAAAAAGCTAAGATTAGTTCAGAGGTGATGGTTTACCTTTGCCAACTGCTTGGCATATACTCAGATTTAGATGATAAATGTTCCTTAAACTGCCAAGCACATTTGGAGGCTGCAAGCTATAGTACAGCTGCTACACATGATTTGCACATCAGTCCTGGTCCTGTTCAGCATGCTGTCATCCACAGTCCACCAGGATGACTTTCAGAAGCTAATGAGACAACACCAGCTGAGGCAGGGTTCTACAACCAGTCACTGTGACCACCTGTGGACCAGTAGAGTCCCTTTGCTGCTAAAGAAGCACTACGCCAGCTGCACGTCTTGGACCACTGCTAATGGAAATCGACTGATTTACCCTAAGAACAGGAAAGATTGCCCATTTATCTCCTAACATCTTAATTGTTTACAAAATTGAATTAGTAAAACCCTTGGCTGATAAAAGAAAATGTTGACCTCTATAACAAATACAAAAGCAAAGCTAGGATTGTCCACAAGACTCATCCGCCATATGTGCATTAGTTGGGGATCTAAATCTAATTTAAAGCCTAAGCCTAACCCTAACCCTAATAACAAACCTAAACTCTAATCCTACATGCAACCCCAACCCAAATTCAAATTCTAATCCCACTTGCAACCCTGGCCCCACCCTTCATTCTAACCCTAAGTGTTAGGGCTTTAGGGAGCTGCAGGAGAAGTCATCTTCCCCTAACCCTATCCCTAGCTCTGATGCTAATGGAAAACCCAACCCTACCACTAATCCTAAATGCAGCCCATTAATATTTAATAGGTATGTTATTGTTTTTAAAAACCCTGTTTAATACACTTTACTGAAGTTGAGTAAATCTGATAGCTGTAAAAAGATCAGAGTGAATTTGGGTGGCAAAATGAATTTAAATATATTGTTTAATTGTATTGTGTTTACTTCAGCTTCTGACAGGCATTCAAGTGTTAAGCTAGAAAAAAAACACTCCTACATATATGAAATAACATTAATATTTTATTAAACAACATTACCCATCATGTTTCCATCTTCCATTTACACCTAGGATTGGGGAAGAATAAATCCAATCCAGATTTCTTGAATTCCACAGATTTTCTTTTTCTAATTCATTTTCCATAATTTTTACGATAATTGGAGCTTTGGTTTCTAAATTGCACTCGCTTTTGGAAAAATGATCAATACTTATTCAGATTTCTTATTTTAAATGATCTGATAATTTTCTTGAATACATATTATTGTTTTAGCAGTTTTGTGTATAAAATTACTCACAATATTTTCCCTCCTACATTCCAGATTATTTTACCAGATAATTTCACTATCTCACCATGAGTCCTCTGCAGTAGCTTAGCCTTTTTTTAGCTTGTTGTCTTGCGGCAGCAGACCTGTACCTTGCCTTTTCAAAATGCTAGTTTTAAATGCTAGTTTACTTTGGAACACTGTTGCTTCCCAGGCTGTTGTGTTCAGTGGCCTTTGTCTTATTGTCTGGTGTCTTTGCCCCTTGTCATTGTTTATGTTTGTTTTTTGTTGCCTTACTGTAAGCACAATTGATTTCCGAGAACAATGAAGTTGAAGGTTGTTGAGTTGTAGTTTGTGAAACTAATGAGATTTGGCCAAACACAGCAGCCTGAGATTAGCTCACTGGAAGATATTTTCCAGTTTTTCTACATTTTATCTTTCTTAGTTGTACATATGATATGTGTATTTGTTTCAGTTGTGCTCTGGTTAGTGACATCTGCATACACGTTTCTTTCAACTGTCAAGGATGCTTGCGTGTAAAGATCGATACACCTGATCTTCCAGCCTTTGATCAAGCTTTGGTCTGGATTTATACTTTTGAACCTGAACTTTCCACCCCTAGTTTTAACCTCTGACTGCTTCACTGTATCCCATAATCCCTGGGTGTCCGTAGGTGGGGCTAATATGTCCCCTTTGCTCTGCCTCATTCTCAGATAGTTGGGATTCCCATTGCTCAGTTTTGTTCAGTGTTATTTGTTTTTTCGTGTTATTCGTTTTCTGTGAAACTTGTTGTTCTTGTAGTGAATATTGTCCATTGCCGCTATTGACTGTTATCCTTTAATTTACGTGTAACTGACAACCTGCGGGAGGCATCTTAGTATCTCATTGTACAAAGAACATAAAACAATAAACTTGGCTTCCGTGTGAGATAACTCTGTTAATTTGACTTCCTCTGCTGGCCCCTGGAGGACTGCCCCCCCCCCCCCCTTGAGTCTGTTTCCTCCCAAACTTTATATCTATGAAGGGGCTTTTCCTTGCCACTGTCGCCTCTGGCTTGCTGATGTTAGTTTTGTCTAAAGTGCTCCAGATGCTGCCTTTAACTGAGTAATTTCCAGGTCCTGTTTAAACTTTCTGTATTCCATTTCTTACCATAGCTGTCGGTATTATAGCTTCTTCCCTATCTGGGTGTTTTTAAGTGTGTCCAAATCCTTCAGTGCCATCTGCTCTACGCTGCATGGATACCCCTTTGATAGAAATCTAATTACACAGCGAATATACTGTAGCTGCTCTTCTGAAAACGATACTATTTTAGCCATGGTGAGGCAAAAAAAAAAGAGAGATACTGACATCAAGTGGTGACTCATCGTAACTGCATCCTGATGGTGCCTACAACGCGCGACATGCACGTAGAAGGAAGTAAAGGTCAGCTGTGTCTCGGTGTCACCCCCACCAATCCGGCAGAACAGAGCTTTCTTACCAGAGAACAATTAAATCCTTCTTGGCAGTGAGTGTCACCCGGTGTCACCTGGTAAATACAGCATATACATTTTAAGGTTGAGTAAGAACTCAGTTTGAATTCACAGGAAACATTTTGATCGGATCACATTAAAAATATGGGCAGTTCTAGGGATTGGAAAGCAGAATACACAGGGCAGAGCAATAGTTTATGATTGACAAGTCTGTTTGTTTACACTCTCGCATTTCCAGTCATCTGTGCACTTTGGTAGAGGTCTGATTATTTCAGGCACTTACTTGTGTATCACCGAGGAGAAAGATAGCATTTATCATGATCACGGTCATACAATATACAAACACAAATACTGTCAGAAGCTATTTTTGTCCTTCCTTGGTTTCTCTGTAAATTTTTGCATATTTCCAAGACATAACCACTGAGTAGTGTTAGTCAACCCTAGTCATCTGTTATCCAGCTCTGATTTCCCAGTTCAGCTGAGCTCTTAATTATTTTTTTAATTAAAATATTAAAAGAATGGATGACGATACTTGAATTATATGACAAAATGTACTATTTAAGGGCTTCTATGTTAAGAATTTAATGAAATTAAATAGATTCCCTTCATTTGATCATTTGACTAAGTATAATAAAACATAAAATAATAAACCAGTTTCTTACTGATTAGCTAATAGGCTACAAATGAGTAGTTATTGATTAGTTGAGCAAGAATTAATAATGGACACAGTTTCGCTTTAAAAGAAAAAAAAAATCCAAATAAATTTAGGAAAATAAAACTGTTTTTCTGGCACGATGGCTCAGTGGGGAGAGCTGTTATTTCACACCTTCTGAGATGAGGGGGTGCAATTCCGCTTCTGCTTTCATACATGCCAGCATTAGGTTGTGAAAAATTGGGAGATTATTCTGGGGGGGGGGGTGTAAATCGATTCTCACCATCATAAGAGCATAAACTGGGACTAGAGCTTGGAAATCGGGAGAAAGGCAGGGAGCTCGGGGGGGCTTTCAGGAGGCCTGTGTGCTTTGCGTGTGGGGGGGGGGGGGTGTTCTGTTGGTTTCCTCCAGCTTGCAGATAACTCTCTGTATTGCCTGTAGGGTGCATATGTGCCCAGCAATGGACTGGTATCCTGTCTAGTGCTATGTCAGTGTTACCTGAAGGCCCCCCAGTCTGTTTTTCTACTGGGAGCTGGGAGGGAAGTGGGCTGGCGCCCCATCCTGGGTTGTTTGCTGCCTTTTGCCTGTAATCTCTGGGATTGGCTCCAGACCCCCCGTGACCCTGAACAGGACAAGCAGTTTCAGAAACTGGATGGATGGATGGATGGATGGATGGAGCTGGGAGGGAGCAAAAACATAGATTGTCCGGCAGGGAGCTGGGAGGGGGTAAAAATGTGGACTGTTGGGGGGTTTGGAATACCCCCCTCTGTAGAAGATGGACGTGTAATCCTTTCAACATAGTCCCAACAAAAATGTATATTGAAAATTTAAAAAGACCTGGGAAATGCTTAACTAAGTCACTATAATTGTCGCCATATATACTCTCCACTAGAGGTCACTCTTATCCAACAAAGGAGAGCAATCTCAAGGAAGGTGTTCAGCATTCATCAAAAATGAGTCAGACGAAAATTGTTTGTGGCCTGCATATCTAAAGCAATGATGCAATGATTTATGTTTTAAAATGTCCATTCAGTAAAATTATTAACAAATGTGAGCATAATGTATCAAGAGTAAAGGGCTATTTATCACATCATTCACCGAATAAATTCAAAAACCCTAATGAGTTTATT